AAAATCACCAGCACCGTATCAGGACCCACCAGCACAATGACAGGGCCCACCAGCACAGAATCAGGACGTGTCTAAACTGAGAAAATACAAAATTTTAATAAATTGCAAAGGTTTTTAACAAAATAATTTTGTCGTGTGGATTTGGGTATAGAAAGCGGACTCCAGGAGCATCTTTGTTTTATTTTTTCAGTTCTAGATTTTCTAAAAATGAGCACTTTTGCGTTACGCTTACTGAAACAGTTTAGAGGGTCCATTTTCCATTTTTATTTCTTTTTAATTCTTTAAGAAACATTCTGCAGAACATGGCTATTTGAGTCTTTGATCCATTTTTTTTATATAAATAACTACGATGGGAAAACAGGCTACATGTACAAATATTTCTGTTAAGTGTTACCTACCAACCCTATTTATGTATGATACCTTGATATGCTCACCCTAAATTTTATAGTGCCACTTTTGGAAGTGAACCGTAAAAGATTGCAGGTCTCCCGATTTGATCAAGTCAAGGTAAAAACAGATCAGTAAAATAAAAAAATCCCTACGTACCTGCCATATTGACTTTCTTAAGGAGAAAACCCTAAACCAAAAATACATCTTTAATGCAACAAACAGTCTTAACCCTTTGAGCGCCGAGACGTTGTTTTTTCACATTGTTTCATTGCCATACATATTTGAATGACGTTACTATAAACGATACGTAACGTAACGTCAACACATTACCTACAAGCACATGCACGTTATCCTCTTTAATCGATAAATTGGACATCTCGTACATTCGGGGAAATTTCCAATATCCTCGGGACTAACCTTTAAACTTGAGTACACGTAGCAGACCTTGCGTATATTCAGTGATTTTGTTTTATTTTCGGGTTGGAAATCGAAGTTATTTTATTTCATTTCTATTTTTTTTTTTCTAGAATACTATAAAATAAAACAACGACAATATGGAAATAAATGAATATTTTATAACATGATATATATATATATATACTAATAACAAACAATAAAGAAATATTGAACACAATATAACTCAATTACTGTATTTTGAGATAAAGGATCATGCAAGATTTGATATCATCGAGGGATTCAAAAGACGAGCAGTGTTCTCAGTTTCTTCATAGTTGGCGCGGATCTGTTTTTTTTTTCTAAAGCACCGTCGACGAAGAGTCCGACTTAACACTTTGCGCATCACCACAAATGTCGGAATACTAGTATACAGCATAGTAAAGATTTAACCATCAAAGTCTAAACTGATTGAGCATAAAATCGAATGACAACTGCGTTCAGCGGCAAATATTTCATGAATATTAACAGCAATAACTTATCATTTTTTTCTGATAATTAAATGTATAATCTGCAATAAGTTTACTTTAACATTACAATTGTGTGACTTATCCTTCATTTTGATTTGCCGATTTGGTTTTGAGGAACGTCACTTGTCTGACTAAACCAGTAGTAGTGAACTTTTAGCATCAATTTTTTTTTTTTTTTTATGTAGCCTAAACTGACCTTTTTTTTGTTATTCAAGTCAATATTTTTCATGTCGAAGGCATGCGAAGTTCCCTTAATTTCCCTCAATCTTTATTTTTTTTATGCAACATTTGATGTTTATCTGTGGTTGAAACTGTCTTGACCCTTTTATGGAGTAAGCCGATTTTTACAGATAATATTTAAGTTTTATGAACTTAAGTTCAGTAAAGAACACACTTATAGGTACAGGTTTAAGAAATCATTTGCTGTGTCCGACTAAAATCAGTTTTGTCTTGATAAAATTAGGCTTGTCGATAAAATTATTTTATATTTCTTGTTGCGATCTTTGACTTCGAAAATCTGATATAAATCCCTTTTTCATTGGTGTGATTTAGGCAGATGATGAACAGAAATAATCTAATCGTAGAGACACACTCTTTTGGGAATCCGGGTCCGTTCGCGCCCATTCACGTTCGCCCCCTTTCACGTTCGCACCCCGGGTCCGTTCGCACCCTTTTTATTGATTTTGTCTTAAATAATTTTTCAATCGTATTTTGGTTAGTATATTACTATAAATATTTTTTTTGTTCATTGTTTTAAAATGAAGTGACTTTCTAAAAACGATTTTTGTGTTGAATAATTTTTTAATCGTGTGTTGGTTATTGTATTGCTATAAATAAGTTTTTTTTTCATTAATTGTTTCAAAACATGCAAAATAAAGTGACGTTTTTTGTGTTAAATATCTTTTTAATCGTGTTTTGGTTAGTGTATTGCTATATTTTTTTTTTTTCATTGTTTCAAAATAAAGTGACTTTCTAAAAAGGTTTTTTGTGTTGAATATTATTTAAATGTTAAGATACCAAACCGCTTTAAACTCAACAACAATAACATTTTGAATCTTAATTGTTTTTACTCATACCAAGTTAAATACATGCTAATATAACTACATTTATTATATACTTAGTAGTAAATACAGATAAATTGTATGTGTAATACAGTCATTGACAAGCGTGCTGTATCAGCCACCCGTGATGATATCGATATCAGCACGGTTGCAAAGGCTTTATCACACCTTTAATCTGTATGACGTCGCGTCATCGATTACAGTCACTGTTGCAAAGGCTTTATCAAACCCCTAACCTGTATGACGTCATTTCAAACCTCTAACTGCATGTATGTATGTATGACGTCATGTCACATAAAAACATCTACGTGAGGTACATGTATATAATAAAGTGTATATGATATGGCTTTTTCAATATCACACACCGTATCAACCCTCAACCAATATAATCCCTCGAGCAGAGCTCTTGGGATTATATTGGGGTCTCGGGTTGATACGGATGTGATATTGAAAAAGCCATATGATATTCTCTATGTACATGCAGAATTTACATCAAGTTTAGCTGTGTAAACACCATATATAATTAACAGTAATCATACATAATTAACATATAATAATTAATCATCAAATCAATTTAAAACAATATTTCATTTAAAAAATTCAAAAATAGCCGAATTTTTCTTTATTTTGAGATAAACATCTTAAAAACATCTTATAATTCATCTGGTTTTTCAATTAAAAAAAAAGGGTGCGAACGTACCCAGGGGGCGAACGTGTTGTGATATTGATATAATACTTCCATGGTTTGAAGTATGACATGAAAGTGGTAAATTTTGGTACCAATAGCTATAGTTTACCCCAATCATAATTACGGACGATGTACTTTCCTTTTGACTGCGGTTGTTGAAGTTTTTGAATTTGATTTGATACATGCACAAACATAATCACAAACTGGTTACTTCAAAAACCCTTCTCCAATTTTAAAAAGAGATGCGGACTCGGTGTAAATGAGACTTTAACCCCAGGACAATATAAATAGAGGTCAACTTACAGTCTAAAAAGATAGTCGGACATTATACGATATTTCAAACACTAAAATGATAAAGTATACTTAGTCTGTGAATAAATTATCAGACTACATGTACTAAAATTTGCTATCAGCATTCATTTCCTAAAATAAAATATAGCAGTCGGATATAAACGAACACAACCGCTTGGACAATAAAAAAATCACACTTAAACATTAATGGAAACAACGACTGGGACAAAAATCAACTTTCACCTGAGTGAAAACAACCGCTGTTGACTGACACGGATAAATAGTGCCGAGTTGAAATAGTCACTTATATCAAAGATCCAACTGCCATCAACACCAAATTCTACAAAAAAAGAAGAAAAACAACCCATAAAGATATGATACTATTATAACACCTTCATTTTGGACACGCACGTGAATATTTATAGATCTATTAAACATAAGTGTTTGTTTGTCTTGACAAGTATAACCATGTATGCTGTAACATGTGTATTTATTTGCTTTGCCCATCCTTGTCCATTATGTGTTGTGAAGTATGTATTTGTTTGCCTTGATTATTATGTGTTGTTAAGTATGTATTTGTTTGCCTTGGTTATATTTTATTGTGTGCTGACGTCTATATTTGGTTGCTTTGATTATATTTTTTTTTACGTATATCTGTTTGTTTGGCTTGTCTATCATATGTTGTAACGTGTGTATTTGTTTGCCTTGGTTATTACGTGCTGACGTCTATTTTTTGTTGCTTTGATTATTATATGTTGTAACGTAACTATGTGTTGTTTGACTTGTGTATCATATGTTGTAACATGTGTATTTCAGGTTTGCCTTGCGTTATGTGTTGCGACATATGTGTTGTTTGTCTTGCTTAGGGAGCTACCATTTGATTTTTATGGGGGGGGGGGCTAGGATGAAAAATTTTGTCCTGCATTTTTTTTTTTTTAGTTGTAATCTCTGTCCTGCCTTTTTATTTTTCACACTATTCGGTCCTACCTTTTTTTTTTTAGTTTATCCTGACTTTTTTTACATACATTGTCATCCTGCATTTTTTTTGCCAAGTTGCCCATCCTGCCTTTTTTTTTTTACTCAAAACTCCTGTCCTGCCTTTTTTTAAATTTCATCCTAGCCCCCCCCACCCCCCCATAAAAATCAAATGGTAGCTCCCTTATTATGCTCTGTATCGTTAGTGTTTGTTTGCCTTGATTACACGTTAAATATGTGAAAAATAAGATGAAATATTACAGAATATTTACTTAAAAGAATACTTAAAAGAATATTTATACAAAAAAAAAAGAGAAAAAAAGGTGTGGTCACCCAAAGCAAGCGTCTGTAGTTGTAACATAATTTATGTGCACGTTTGTCGGTTTTTAACTTAAATTGGTATTTCCTCTGTGGGTCAAATAAAATAGTTGTGAATTTGAAATATGGATTAAATATTTTTTGCTAATTTTGGATTTTAATTTATTATTTCATTTTGGATTTAGTTCTTATTTCGAGAAGATTTTGATTTGTATATTGACCATTATTAGTTATAGTGCTAGCATTCACAATATATTTATTATATATTAACGTATTATCTACCTTTAAAGCTTTCACTTGTCAATGAACATTATTACTGACAGATGTCGCTTTATATAATTGTTTACCTGTGACCGCCAGGTGTGTCAATGGCGGAGGTGATCTCATTCATGACCGTTTCCGATGTTTTAAAATTGTTTATGTAATTTTAGTTCTGTGATTTAATTTGTTTGTTAGTTAAAACAGCTGTTACTGATTTATGCTATTATTTTGATCGGAATTGCTTAATTCAGAATACCTGCTTGTAAATCAAAGGATCGTACTTGATAAATTCAAAAAATATATCAACTTCCGTATTTTTCTATTCAAACCATGACATGATGTGTAACTTTTCACCGGGAATTTAATACTTGGCTGAACAACGAATATATTTTGGAAATTTAGAAATTGGCGCTTAATATTATGGAAATACATCATATTTTTTGTTTTTATTTTATGACCATTTATCAGTGATTTCTTGATCTGTGGAATAACACAGGTAACTCATTGTTTACCTCGCACAGTGTGAACTGTTGAATTAACCGTTATTGCCTGAGGATTACCTTAACAAAGGTCACTAATTAATATCCAACTATAAAGAAGACAATGTGTAGAAACACTGTTCTATACCTGTTGTTTTTATTTATATCACCTGTTACCTGCTATGATGGTAAGTAATTAAAGAGTCAAACATTTCATTGCGTAGATACAAAGCTATCAAAATATTTCTAAATTTATTGTTTTACTACTAACACACGACACATTTGAAATGTAAAATCTAAAATTACATAACATACAGGTACATATTAGCTTACGATCTATTATGCATTCAAGACGAGTTTTGAAAGGATTACAAAATTACACGCTACATGAAAAATACCTGCAAAAGTATTCGTGGGAAATAGGTCGTACAAAATTATTGTTTCTGTGATCTACACGTACATCAACTTATGCACTGATGAATTTTTGTCGATGCTACCATTATGGTTTACCTGGGACATAATATATTATGTTAGTATAATAGTCCCAGGTTATACTAAGGTCCTAATAATAAAACAAATAATCCAAAGATATCTCTGAATAATCGTTATAGTCATTTTTACAACATTCAAGATATTTCATTTGGTAGCTATAGCGACGAAATTTTACACTTGCACTGAATCATCAGAGAAGGAATCAGTTCACAGATTTATAAAAGACAGAAAAATGCGACATGACTTTCATCTGAATACTAGTGCAAAGTGACAAACCAAACAAATGTGTGTCCTGTACATTATTAGTTACTTTTTGCCGCCAGTATATTATCACACTTCTTGTTTTCAAAATGCATGTAATTCCCTTGACACACTGTGTGTAAATTGTTTGTACTGGCGTTTGTACATTTTATGTAACCACCTTTAGGCAAACATGTAGTGTAGATTGTACCTATAATCTGTCATATTTACGACCTTAATTGTCAGTCGCATACAAATGGACATCATTCTTATGGGATTTAATAGTTACCGTTCTTTGAAGACATGCATTTCATATTTCAATTGCATTTAAATACTTAATTATTGAGTATTATGGAGAAAACCGGAAAATTCATTTCGTTACTTGGTGGGGTTGGGTGATATCACTTCGCTTTGGTGGTACATGTGTAGGGGTGAACAGCTGAGACACCCAGAGCTAGCCCAGTAACCAACCCTATTCGTATATTTGGAACATAAAAAAATACGTACATGTAACTTATCATACTGTATATTTTTGGATAAAAATATATCCACAGCTATCATGATTATGCTATTTAATGTTTGACTAAAATCTGATGCATTAACGACGCTGGTTTTTAACGCATCTGTGAAAAAATCGACATCTGAATAGTCTCAGATACTTATGATTTTATCATCAACCTTGTCACTCATCACTACCACTCATTGCATTGTAAACGCCCCACCCCTCTCCCTCTCTCCTAGTTTTGATCTGTACAGTCGTCATTTTCAGTTTCTTTGTGCACACATACATGTACAGACATTTTCTACAGATTTTACAAGATACTAGCATGAACTTTATGTCATGATATTAGCTTAGGACAGGACCAGTGTGTGACCGACAACAATAATTAGTCGACGAGGATGATGACGAGGATGATGATGATGACGACGGCGACGGCGACTTCGACGACTGCCTGTGTAACATCAAGTGGCAAATGAAACGCATGTTCAGGACAAAACATGTTAATGTGATATGAATATGAATCTTGATTTGTACATACATTGTATGCTAGACCGTCACCCTGAGTCTGATTGTAACAGTTAAATTGTATAAAGACCTGGCACCCTACCATATACATGTTGATATGGTAACCATGTGTCCACTACTCTAAACAGGGTGACGATTCCGTCCCATTACTCACAATGGTAACCATGTGTCCACTACTCTAAACAGGGTGACGATTCCGTCCCATTACTCACAATGGTAACCATGTGTCCACTACTCTAAACAGGGTGACGATTCGTCCCATTATTCACAATGGTAACCATGTGTCCACTACTCTAAACAGGGTGACGATTCCGTCCCATTACTCACAATGGTAACCATGTGTCCACTACTCTAAACAGGGTGACGATTCCGTCCCTCACAATGGTACAAACGATCAATTTGGTTATTATACAGATCCTGTGTACACGCTTTACTTTCAAGATTTGACTGACACTTAACGGTAAACCGATCTTCTTTTCATTTTGAATGTGATCAATGTCATGACGCTATTTAAAAAAAAAAATAAGCCAAAATAAAGAAGTATGTTTGTTTAGGCTTTCCTGCTTACAAAAAAACTAGTACTGTAGGTACATGTATTTTAAAATTTTGCTAAATATTTATACCTTGAGTACTAAATGTATATCGACAGTCCTGCAAGTTTGTCATGATTCTTTACCAAAAACTTAAGGGTAGCCATTTTATGGCATAACAAATAAGGTACAATGTAGGTAAGGAGCAATTAATCCCATGTTAAACATGTTGAAAATATTCTGTATCTTATACATACACAAAAGAACTACAAAATACACAATGCACACATTCTGAAGTGGTTTTAAGCGGTAACATGCACACGAATGAGGCTAAATATTCGAGTTTGAGATGCACATAGATCAGTCGGTTTAAAAAGTGTTGTATACTATTTGTCGGTTTCTTTGACAATACACATCACCAAGTTATACGTAGATGCAAATGGATACACAAATGCACGCATATGTGTATTATCTTTTTTATTGATCCTTAAAAGTTGTAAACAAATCCCGATTTGACCTCCACGTAAATGCTAGTTAAAGTGCTGATGACGTAAGTTTATAAGGTAGGGGAAATATATCCGGGTATGACAAATCCTAGCAAGGTTCGAAAACGTCTTAATTTATTACATGATGACTCAATGCACAAAGATCGTGGTACTCGTATTTGTACATACCAACTGTATGTCATAAACACGTTCGTGGTTTTGTTGAATGAAATCCAGTGTCGCAGCTAGCGCTAAAAAAAGGGGTACAACTACCCCTGTTTCCTCTGTGCTCTCCATTGTCATAGCTGTCTACTGGTTACTACTCCTCTGTCCATACAAAATGCATAACCCTGCCATATACATTTTTGATTTCTGAAAAAAAGAATAAATTCTTTTCAATGCCAAATAATCATTTTAATTACTGGAAAGTTTTTCACTTACAACTCCTAAACACCACAAAGTCAGCAAAAATCATGATATTACTTTATTTGATTATTTAAATGTTTGCATCTGTAAACATGATCAAGTTTATCCTTTTCATACGAGAAACCGTGATAGTGTGACTTTCATCTTGAAATTGTGCACTCTACTTTTATATCTTATCTCTATAATACTGAAATCTATTTGGAAATACAACAGCTGACATAAGAGCTTAAGAAGGTATGATTTATATCAAAAATTGCTTTCAGTAATTGTGGATAGTCTGATGCAGTATTAAGTTTAATCAGCTGCGGAACCGTAACTATAAAGGTCCTTAATTATGTTTTCTGATTTAGCGGACCATAGATCCGTACCTCTAACGGTCCTTGTTATGTTTTCTGATTTGGCGGACCATAGATCCGTAACTCTAACGGTCCTTGTTATGTTTTCTGATTTGGCGGACCATAGATCAGTACCTCTAACGGTCCTTATTATGTTTTCTGATTTGGCGTTATGTTTTCTGATTTGGCGGACCATAGATCCGTAACTCTAATGGGCCTTATTATGTTTTCTGATTTGGTGGACGGTCCGCAAATTGTAAAAAAAATATCCTAAGGACCTAAGAGCTACGGTTCCGCAGCTACAGTTTTACTTGTACTTGTACGTTCGTCATCTGTAATGAAACGCCATTACAAACTTTGAAAACTCAAACCCCAAAAACTTGTTGTGAAGGCCCTAGGCCAGGAACATCGTATGTTGTTGTGATTTTAGCGTTTTGTTCTTAAGAGAATTTGGATTTGATGGTAGATCTTTTCTTATCTCTGTTAGATTTATTCACAACTCGGTTTGACTCCGGTTATTCCGAGTTTGACATATAAAATACATGTAGATATTTGTCTTTTATTGAAGGTCGTGTGTTGCATCTACATGTGACTGTCTTTTCTGGTTTTATGATTTCGTGGAGTTGCTGTCTCCTTGACGCATACCCCTATATCGTTTCTTATTCATCTGTAATCGGAATAGATTTTGACCTCATACATTTTATTCACGCTACATTTGTAATACCTTTAAGTCTGATTCGTCGAAGTGTCTTTGACCTATTATGGTAAATTAACAAAGGAAAATATGTGAGACGCATGGCTCAGTTATTTATCGTCATATATTGTAAACCAAAGCCACTTCTTTCTTTAAATTCTTAATCATCTGGTTTAAACGTGATTGAAAAACTAAATATAGAATGAAACAGGTATTTAAAATGAACTATATTTCAGTAACAAGTGAAACGCTAAAAGAAAGTTTAAAGTTATGATGTGTTGCAAAATGTTTTTCGTTCATCTTTCTGGTAAATTAACTGAATTAAGTCTGAATGTCATTCTAATGGAAGGAAGGAATATGACACGAAATCCCTCCTATATACACAAAAAATAAAGCAGAGGAACAACGCTTTTATTGCTGTTCTTCATTTGAAAGTCCCAATAACAATTTCAGCGTTAAGGACAAGTACAAACCGCATGCATCGAACTAGAATTGTACTATAACTATATCCTATATCATAATCACCTCATACATGATACATCGAACAAGACTTGTACAAATTATATCCTATATCATAATCACCTCATGCATCAAACAAGACTTGTACAAACTCTATCCTATATCATAATCACCTCATGCATCGAACAAGGCTTGTACAAACTATCCTGCATCATAATCACCTCATGCATCGAACAAGACTTGTACAAACTCTATCCTATATCATAATCACCTCATGCATCGAACAAGACTTGTACAAACTCTATCCTATATCATAATCACCTCATGCATCGAACAAGACTTGTACAAACTCTATCCTATGGCATAATCGCCTCATGCATCGAACAAGACTTGTACAAACTCTATCCTATGGCATAATCGCCTCATGCATCGAACAAGACTTGTACAAACTCTATCCTATATCATAATCACCTCATACATGATACATCGAACAAGACTTGTACAAACTCTATCCTATATCATAATCACCTCATACATGATACATCGAACAAGACTTGTACAAACTCTATCCTATATCATAATCACCTCATGCATCGAACAAGACTTGTACAAACTCTATCATATATCATAATTGCCACATGCATCGAACAAGACTTGTACAAACTCTATCCTATGGCATAATCGCCTCAAGCATCGAACAAGACTTGTACAAGCTCTATCCTATATCATAATCACCTCATGCATCGAACAAGAGGTTTTTCGTTCATCTTTCTGGTAAATTAACTGAATTAAGTCTGAATGTCATTCTAATGGAAGGAAGGAATATGACACGAAATCCCTTCTATATACACAAAAAATAAAGCAGAGGAACAACGCTTTTATTGCTGTTCTTCATTTGAAAGTCCCAATAACAATTTCAGCGTTAAGGACAAGTACAAACCGCATGCATCGAACTAGAATTGTACTATAACTATATCCTATATCATAATCACCTCATACATGATACATCGAACAAGACTTGTACAAATTATATCCTATATCATAATCACCTCATGCATCAAACAAGACTTGTACAAACTCTATCCTATATCATAATCACCTCATGCATCGAACAAGGCTTGTACAAACTATCCTGCATCATAATCACCTCATGCATCGAACAAGACTTGTACAAACTCTATCCTATATCATAATCACCTCATGCATCGAACAAGACTTGTACAAACTCTATCCTATATCATAATCACCTCATGCATCAAACAAGACTTGTACAAACTCTATCCTATGGCATAATCGCCTCATGCATCGAACAAGACTTGTACAAACTCTATCCTATGGCATAATCGCCTCATGCATCGAACAAGACTTGTACAAACTCTATCCTATATCATAATCACCTCATACATGATACATCGAACAAGACTTGTACAAACTCTATCCTATATCATAATCACCTCATGCATCGAACAAGACTTGTACAAACTCTATCATATATCATAATTGCCACATGCATCGAACAAGACTTGTACAAACTCTATCCTATGGCATAATCGCCTCAAGCATCGAACAAGACTTGTACAAGCTCTATCCTATATCATAATCACCTCATGCATCGAACAAGAGGTTTTTCGTTCATCTTTCTGGTAAATTAACTGAATTAAGTCTGAATGTCATTCTAATGGAAGGAAGGAATATGACACGAAATCCCTTCTACATACACAAAAAATAAAGCAGAGGAACAACGCTTTTATTGCTGTTCTTCATTTGAAAGTCCCAATAACAATTTCAGCGTTAAGGACAAGTACAAACCGCATGCATCGAACTAGAATTGTACTATAACTATATCCTATATCATAATCACCTCATACATGATACATCGAACAAGACTTGTACAAATTATATCCTATATCATAATCACCTCATGCATCAAACAAGACTTATACAAACTCTATCCTATATCATAATCACCTCATGCATCAAACAAGACTTGTACAAACTCTATCCTATGGCATAATCGCCTCATGCATCGAACAAGACTTGTACAAACTCTATCCTATGGCATAATCGCCTCATGCATCGAACAAGACTTGTACAAACTCTATCCTATATCATAATCACCTCATACATGATACATCGAACAAGACTTGTACAAACTCTATCCTATATCATAATCACCTCATGCATCGAACAAGACTTGTACAAACTCTATCCTATATCATAATTGCCTCATGCATCGAACAAGACTTGTACAAACTCTATCCTATGGCATAATCGCCTCATGCATCGAACAAGACTTGTACAAGCTCTATCCTATATCATAATCACCCCATGCATCGAACAAGACTTTTACAAACTCTATCCTATATCATAATCACCTCATGCATCGAACAAGACTTGTACAAACTCCATCCTATATAATAATCACCTCTATCCTATATCATAACGAACGTGATGACTATTGAACTTTAGTCAATAACTTACTCATGTTACTATTGATGGAATTCTTAATTGATTAATTGTTGCTTGGTCAACATCAAGTGGCAACTATATTGAAAATTGATACAATTATTAGGTTCTGCAATTAGGTGGGACGACAGGGATGAAGGACGGGAAATTTGGACTGCCAATGTAAAACAGGGTTATGTTGGATAAGGACAGAATTGTTGACCCCTCATACAGTTGTTACAATGCTTTTTAATGCACAGAGATCGTGGCTACAATAACAGTACGAACTGACCAAGTGATCGTTGAAAAACTAGAATATTAAAAAATTTACAAACACTTCGGATTTCTCCGGGAAACACCGGAATCTTGATAAGTGTAAATTTAGGTAAACATTTCGGTTGTTGTTTGCTCATAGTCCAGTGGCAAATATTTTATGCATATTCAAAACAAGAATCAAATTAACAAAAATTAATAGGCAGGTTCTGTAAAATAGGTCGATAGAGATAAAAACGACAAAAAAAGGGGGGATTTAGATTTCAGCTTGTAAAAGAGGGTATGTTAGATATGTCAGAAATGTTGACTTGCAGCAGGCCATCCTCTAAGAGTTTTTATACGACCGCAAAAAAAAATTTGTGGTCGTATATTGGTATGACGTTGGCGTGGCGTCGTCGTCGTCGTCGTCGTCCGAAGACACATTAGTTTTCGCACTCTAACTTTAGTTTAAGTGAATGGATCTTAATGAAATTTTACCATAAGGTTCAATACCACAAAAGGAAGGTGGGGATTGATTTTTGGGGTTATGGTACCAACAGTTAAGGAATTAGGGGACAAAAAGGGGCCAAAAATAAGCATTTTTGTAACTTCCAGACATAACTTGTGTGTAAGTGTATGGATCTCTCTGACATTGTACCATAAGGTTCCATATCACAAAGGTAATGCTGGGATTGATTTTGGGGGTAATTGCCTCCAAATTTTAGGAATTAGGGGCAAAAGGGGCAAAAAACAAGCATTTTTCTAGTTTCATGACAATAACTTGTGTGTAAGTGTATGGATCTCTCTGACATTGTATCACAAGGTTCCATATCACAAAGGGAATGCTGGGATTTATTATGGGGGTAATTGCCCAAAAAGTTTAGGAATTTGGGGCCAAAAATGAGCATTTTTCTATTTTCCAGACAATAACTTGTGTTCAAGTGTATGGATCTCTCTGAAATTGTACTGCAAGGTACCGTACCACAAAGGGAAGGCTGGGATTGATTTTTGGGGGTAATTCCCTCAAAATTTTAGTAATTAGGGGCCATAAAAGGGCAAAAAAACAAGCATTTTTCTAGTTTCAGGACAATAACTTGTGTGTAAGGTTATGGATCTTAATGAAATTGTACTGCAAGGTTCCATATCACAAAGGGAAAGCTGGGTTTGAGTTTGGGGGTAATTGCCCTAAACGTTTAGGAATTTGGGGCCAAAAAAGGACAAAAAAACAAGCATTTTTCTAGTTTCCAGACAATAACTTGTGTTCAAGTGTATGGATCTCTGAAATTGTACTACAAGGTACCATACCACAAAGGGAAGGCTGGGATTGATTTTGGGGGTGATGAATCATAAGGGGGTTCAAAAAATTTGGGGGGGATTTTTTTTCCTTTTTTTTCTTTAAAATTTTCCATTTTAAATTGGTTATTTCTGATTTATATATAAAAGCAAATAATAATGATATGGTTTGAATAGGTAAATTAAAATTTTTTAAGTTCTTAGACCACTTTCATTCTGTGTCAGAAACCTATGCTGTGTCAAATATTTAATTACAATCCAAATTCAGTGCTGTATCAAGCTTGAATGTTGTGTCCATACTTGCCCCAACTGTTCAGGGTTCGACCTCTGCGGTCGTATCAAGCTGCGCCCCAGCGGAGCATTTTATTGGTTCTTCTTAATGTTTATGATCCCTTCTGTAGGCCTGTATACATGTATTATGAATTTTTCAAAGTCCAATAGAGATCCCGACACGTTCACTACACAAAGTAACAGATTTGACGACCGGACATGTTCAAATGTAGGTAGAATAACATATCCATTTTTTTGCATAAAGATATCCATAGCTGTATGCTGGAAGATATCTAGATATATGTAAGAAAATATCTATGTATATTTAAGAAGATATCTAGGTATATTTAGAAATATATCTAGCTATATGGAGGAAGATATCAATGTATATGAAGGAAGATATCAATGTATATGTATGAAGATATCAATGTTTATCTAGCAAGATATCAATGTATATGTAAGAGGATATCAATGTATATGTAGCAAGATATTAATGTTTATGTAGCAAGATATCAATGTTTATGTGAAAGAAATCAATGTACTTGTAGCAAGTTATCAATTTATATGTAGCAAGATATCAATGTATATATGAAAAATATCAATATATTTGTAGCAAAATATCAATGTTTATGTACTAGGAAGATATATATATGTATGTGCATTTTACTTGTCATAATAATGATTCCAAACATTCAAGAAATTACCTTTAGTTACTATTTTTTCACATTCATCTACAACGATAATACTATTGCCTTTTCAGTAACAAACAGTATAGATTTTGAAGGGAGTGGTTGTAATACACAGTTAATGGTAGGAGATAATACAATTGCTGAAGTCATTGCCACGCCACAAGCTGGTGTCTTACCAGATTCATCAAAATGTGAAGCAAAATTTCAAGCAATCCCAGCTGATAGAAAACTTAAGATATACATACAGGATTTTTTTATGGGTCCAGGAGCTTGTGGACATAAGCTTAAGATATATGATGGTGTTGAATTCGTCAGTCAGGACCCAAAGGTAATCATCACCTAAAGCTTATCAAAAAATTGTCAACAATTAATTTGTGAATAAGGCCAGTTGATGGGGATCCAGTAGTGGTAGGTCAATGATGACTGGTATGCAGTTGTATTAGCATAGGTACATCTCATTTCCATGGAGATTGTTTGGTCCTGTACCTTCAGTCATTGATCATTGACTTTATATATAAAAAAGAAGATGTGGTATGATTGCCAATGAGACAACTATCCACAAGAGATCAAATGGCACAGAAATTTAACAACTATAGATCACAGTACGGCCTTCAACAATGAGCAAAGCCCATACCGCATATTTTTGAATATTTTGCATAACTTACATGTTACAAAGTATTTATTTCTGTGTTAACAGTTTATTTCAAACAGTTGCTGGCCTCAAAATGTATTTGTTTACAATATTTGAAGGACTTCTTACTTCTACGTATTCAGTTTAAGAATGTTGTGGAAAAAAAATGTTTCTTGAAAAATACAACATATTTCACGCATAAAATATTTATTCCAAATATTTTTTGGAAGATTGAAAAATAATCCCTTTTTGGAGAATAGATACTCATGGTAGGAACTATTCCCAATTCGCGCCAAACTTGTGAGAAACAAAATGCACTTAACTGTGAAACAAAACATTTAAGATTTTGCTTTGTCTATATCCTTTAGTGGGAGTTCAGTTGTAACACAGAAATTCAAGATGTATACACATCATCAACAAATCAGGTCATCATAGCATTTACCAAGCCTTCAGTAGATACGTCACAACTATACAGATTTAAAATCCATCTTACTACAGACAGAGGTAAGTTTGTTTGATGGAAACCCATATATACATAGCAGGGGCGTGGTGATATTCTTGCCGCATGTGCGACTCGAACATTTCCACGCCTCTGTCTTGTAAATGAGCTACAAGTCCTAAATAGTACTGTTAATATAACTTAAAATGGTTCTGTAGAATACTACCTGAATATTGGGAAGAGGCTGGTTCACAATGACAAAAAAGAGAGCATTGTATAGACACTAAATCTTGTCTATTGTTGACGTCATATGAATGCTAAGTATTTGTAGAAAGCTTTGAATTTCAGAATGTAGAAGGTTAGATAATTCTTATATTGTACACCAATACGTTTCCATCTGACACAAGTCCGTTGTCCTTGACCTCATTTTCATGGTTCAGAGATTTCTTTAAAATGTATAGTTTTTCATCACGTGATTTGTTTTCAGTTACAATGAGTAATAAGAAGACTATAATTGGTTCATAGGATCATTGCAAGGTATCCAGACACGATTCATCGGACATTGGTCCGTTTCTCAATTTGGTGTATAGAATTATTGTTAGGCGTACATGTCCGTCTGACAGGGTTCATCTGACCTTGAACTAATTTTCACGGTCTATTGTTAGTTTTTCTCAGATACTATTTGCAATAGTTCAACTACGATCAACCGTGTATAATGCATACTTTTTCACATGAACAGTAATATGTGGATCCCTCACTCATCCCTGACATCTAGGAAGCCATATTAGGTTTTTACTTCTCCCTATTTAATAACCTTCGGTTCCTAAAAGTGCGGTGACCAGTAATAGGACCAACTGCAAAATGTATGTGAGGCCTCACCTTACTATTTCTTTTATAGGAAGACAGATAAAAATTTCATTTTTTTTTGTTAAAGGGTAGGGAAATATTACATCACAAACTTTCCTTCATCGCTTTTTAATATTTAATGTCCATGATTAGTTATAAAAATGTTAAAATAAACAAAATTCCAATTAATGGCATTGTTCCTGTCCTGTGGTGGTAATATCAGAAACTAGACACAATGTGTATTATCATTTCTACTGTTTACAAACTCAGTTTTGTTTGTTAAGTAATATCATCTGTCCCTTTATCATCATGAGATGACAGATGTACAGCCCTAATTAACCATTTTTATACGACCGCAAACATTTGTTTGTGATCGTATGATGTCGTCGTCGTCGTCGTCTGCGTCGTCGTCCGAAGACACATTGGTTTCCGGACAATAACTTTAGTTTAAGTTAATGGATCTCTATGATTTTTTTTCTAAGAAGGGTCAATACCACCAAAGGAAGGTTGGGATATATTTTGGGGATGATGATTCCAACCGTTTAGGAATTAGGGGCCAAAAGGGGCCCAAAACAAGCATTTTTCTAGTTTCAGGATAATAACTTGTGTATAAGTATTTCGATTGCTCTGAAGTTGTACCACAATGTTTAATACCACAAGTAGAAGGTTGGGAAACGTTTTAGGGGTTATGGGGCCAACTTTTTAGGAATTAAGGGCCAAAAAGGGGCCAAAAACAAGCATTTTTCTAGTTTCCAGACAATTACTTGTGTGTAAGTGTATGGATCTCTCTGACATTGTACCACAAGGTTCCATATAACAAAGGGAAGGCTGTGATTGAGTTTGGGGTTAATTGCACCAAACATGTAGGAATAAGGGGCCAAACAAGGGCCAAAACCAAGCATTTTTCTAGTTTCCAGACAATAACTTGTGTTTTAGAATATTGATCTCTCTGAAATTGTACTACAATGTTCCATACTACAAAGGAACGGCTGGGATTGAGTTTTGGGTTATTGCTTCAAGGAAAGTTTCAAAAAGTTGGGGGGGGGTTTTCCAATTTTTTTAAGGGATACATTTTTTTTTTTCAAAATTTTTCAAATTTCGCGAATTTTTGAAAATTTTCAAGAAGAAATCTTCAATTGCACAGTATTTCGCAATAGATTTGTAAGATCTTTGACCAGAAACCTATATTATGTCAAAAATTTGATCACAATCCAAATTCAGACAGTATCAAGCTTGAATATTGTGTCCAAATTTTCCCAAACTGTTCAGGGTTCGACCTCTGCGGTCGTATCAGGCTGCGCTCAGCGAAGCATTTTATTTAATTGAGCGAAGATACTAGTTTGCAAATTTTACTCTGAAGGGTTTAGATGTAAGTCCGTTTAGTGTTTTTGCTAGATGTTTTTCGTTTCAACTGATTTTTTTATAGTTTGTTAGTTTGTTAGTTTGTTCATGTGTTGTGTTGTTACACCACTGTCCCTGGTAAGGGTGGGGTCGGTGATGCTCGCAAACATGTTTAATCCCGCCACATTCTGTATATGCCTGTCTCATGTCAGGAGTCTGTATTTTAGTAGTAGTCGTTTGTTGCTGTATATCATATCGTTTGTTGATTAGTACAGAAATCAGTTAGATTTCTCGTTTTAATCGTCAGGCCTTTTATTGCTTGCTACGCTGTAAGGGGTTTTCTCATGGTTGAAGGTCGTACGGTGACCAACGTCATTTAGTCTTTGGAGGATAGTTGTCTCATTGACAACCATACCACATCTCTTTATTTCTTTTAAATTAGCTTTTAGTAACTATGATAACTCTAAGATCGGTACTTTTTTTTTGTAGATTGTATTTGTGCTTTGTTGCGATTCCATTAAAACTGATTTTAACAGTTTGTTCTTCTTATGTTGTGGTGTCCCAGGTGAAGGTGGTTGAGAATTCACAATCAAGATTAAGGATGCCACATAGTAATGTGTCTGTCCGCAGTCAGAAGCATGTAATTCAGTATTGTCCTTGATTACTGGCTGTCATATAAAGTCCCACTTTAGATCACTTTATCCTGTCAGAATGTCAGTTTGTCCATCAAATATTTCCATCACAGATACTACTGAACAGAATTACTACATATTTGGTCAGCAGCTTAAATTGGCCTTCTTCCTGTTTATCTCTCTGACAGGGTTCACCTAAACCTTATTATTGTCTCGTCTTATCAAAGTCGTAAAACTATGATATGCAATTTTCTGAAGAGTAGCAAAGCAGAGTGATACAGACAAAGGAGAGACAGATTAGAGAATATTTTTATGTGTATAGCGTTTTTCATTCAATGAGACATTTTGTAATAAAACCCCGTAAGATATCTTTAATGTCTCCGAAGTTAGTTGAGTAGATTTGTCACGAAATAGAAGTTCCATAATAATACAAGTTCCAAGTGGAAAAAATATTCTGTAATATTATTTCCCCTGGAACAACTTGAATATTACAGTATTTGTTCCTTACGGAATAAAGGTTATAGAAGATCTGTTCCAACAGGAACAGATATAATGGCATAGTTTATAACGAAGTTTCCAGTGGAACTTCTGTTAGATATCTGGACCATTGTTCGGAGTATTTGAGGTTTGTGTGATCTGTTGTGATGCCCAATACTTTTGGTCATGTCTGCTATCCTTTTTGTCGATCCTGCGACGTGAGACAAATGCGATCCCCTATTCCGTCTTCGACGTCGTCGGTTAAGTCATTAAGGTTCAGTCTGTGAAAGTACTTCTAAACATCAATAACTTTGTCATACCTCCATGGAATCGTATGAAACTTAGACAGAAGCTTTTAATGATCAAAAGCCAGTATCGAGAGTAAAATTTTGAATATATTTTTTTCTTCATTTTTCCGTATTTTACTAATGAACATAGTTTTTTTTCAGTTTACATTTAAGATAAGTCTAAGGTTAAAGTTATCCAGACATCAATAACCTTGTCAAACCTTCGTGGAATTTTACGAAACTTTAACAGAAGCTTAAATCTTTGATATGATCAAAAGACAAGCATACAGAGCAAAATTTGAAAAATTATGTTCTGTCTGCTGTAACGAATTTTGCGTTAATACACCAAACAGTGTTCAGCTTCTTGCAGGCTAAACAACTGAGATAGGAGTGACAACTGAAATGAAACTAAAAAACTCATTTTAGTGTATATGATAGAATGAGGCGACTAGTCAAGTACAGTTGGGAGCAATTCTAAACTCTCTTAAATTCTGTCATGAGAACTATTCTAGATTAGTTATCCTGACAACATAATAGAACAGTTTTGGACAGTTCTAGCGAAGAACAGATTCTGACAGTTCTAGCGAAGAACAGATTCTGACAGTTCTATCTGTAGAATGTTTATAAATAATGTTATTTATTCTTTTTCTCTTTTTCTCCTTCTTTATATTTCTTTAGATTTATTTCTTACTTCTTTATTTGTTTAATTGCTATTTTTATCTTTGTTATTTCAAACAAATATTCCAGGATGTTGTTTCCTTTTATGATTATTTACTATTGTTCATTTTCTTAGTTGGCATTATTTAAATTTAAATTTTTTTTTATTTTCTAAATTTTCCATCTTCTTTTTTTGGTTTATTTGTTTAATATATGAACTGTTGTTTTAAGTGTATACTGTTTATTAAATATAATGCTTACATTTGTAACCACAAAATGTTACATGTAATAATACCAAAGAGGTCCTCGGACTGTATATGGTCTTTCTAAAGCCTTTGTTCATGTCTTGCAAAGCTAAGTCCAACACAGTTTAGAACACGTCTCTTTCAAGATTATACTGACCGTTCTGAAGAGAGGTTAGAATTGATCCAAACTGTACACACACAATTTAAGGGAAAATAATTATTAGTATCCAAATTAAAGCAACTAGAAATAACATAAAATGTTTATAAACCTATTTTTTTTATGTCAGATCAAGGCGAGGAACTGGAAGATAAATAAAACAATGGAAATATCTGATTCACGAATTACCAAAATGCATAATCTCACAAAAACGAACGTTATTTTTAATATATCATCATTTGAACTTGGTGTAACAAGTAATTTGATTAATTTAAATTTATTTAAATTGCAGAGGAACCATACTTATTCTTTGAAGCTTTAAATAAACCAGAAATAGCGTTAAATTTACCAGACATCATCCTACAACACAGGAAGCGCCGAGAAACTGTCAATCAACCCAGCTATAGTAAGTTTGCATGTATATACTTGAATCAGATATATCCAGTAGAACTTTTAATTATAGTATATACCCTTCTTCAAATCAGTTGTCACTTAGCTATATCTCAGTATTGGGTCCTAGTGTCCTAACTCAAGTGTCAGTATAAAATATATGGTTTTTAACCTTTTTTTCTAACGGACCTACATGTATAAACCATTCAACAAATGTTTTGAGATGTTGATGTACCTACCATAATACATTATCGGTATATGGTATACTGCTGTTGCATTAGCATCCATAGATATAAATAACACTTTTATTTCGGTAAGAATTTGAGACTCTGTCATGCTTTTGTTGTTTTTCAAATGTTTGCTTTATTAAAAAAAATGCTGTTGCATCAGCATCCGTGCATTTCAGGCTGTGTGGGCATTATGTAGCTTCGTCACCTTTGTCATCCTTTAGTGTCTTAATTTTACATTGCTCTGATGTTTTATTTCTGAAAAGATGTGCTTGTAAACAAATATGTTCTCTAATCCGTTGATATTTGATATGCTGAAGCATTGTAATCCACAAGAATTTTAGACAACAACTTTAGTCATGCTGAAATGGCTGAGAGTTTAAAATTGTTAAAATACCTTATTTTATTTATTTACAGTGTTTTTTAAGTTCTTGCAACAGACCATTGTTGTTTTTTTTAATATCATTATATCATTATACATGTATCTCATTTGCTAGGATATTATTATGGCTACTTTTGAGTCACATTCTCCTCAGTTTGTAGTTTATAAATAATACATTGTACAACAAGGGACATCTTTTCCCATAATCAAAGTTGATCCAATTGTATTTAATTTTGCTGTAAAGCAGGTGAAACTTGTTTCTGTACATACATATATTAGCAGGATCTATAATTTCTTTTTAACTTGAGATATAATTGTTGTGTTTCTCTTACAGCTGCCCCGTTAACCGGAGGTGCCGGTGGAGATGGTGGTGGAGGAGGGATAACCTCGGGAGCTATAGCTGGGATAGCCGTCGGCTGTGTTGTAGGTGTGGTAATTATAATAGCTATATGTATTTACCTTCTATGGAAATTTATGCGACAAGCTGAGGAGAAAAAACGATATGTTGCAGAGCCACCGCCTGCTATATCAGTTATATGTAAGTATTACGCAATCTTTTCTGATATAACTATAAATGTAAACTTTAAGAAGCTAAGCTTTCTTTTTTGCAGTATTTTATTAATATTTTTTATTATTTACACTTCATATATGTAAAATCGCGGAATTTGTCATTCAATTTATTAACATTAGTAAATTCACGAAGAAACACAGTTTTGTGATTGATGTTTGTTTTGTTTATAGCTTCAGGAGGATCTACTGTAAATGGCATATTAAAACATCCGGGTTCTGGTGGAAGTACAAGAAAGAAGCGTGGATTTGACAATGATGCGTTTTCAGATACTAGCGAGACTAAAAATTCAAGGTACAAAGAAAGACCTGTTGATGATTACGATGCAGAAAAGGGGAGAGGGTCATATTCACGGAGGGGAGGCCGAGATAGGACAGAGTATGACCGTGGCCACCAAAACCCTGGATTTGACGATGATTTTGTCCATAATGATAGAAAAGATAGGTATGGTGGTAATAGACAATCGTACAAAGATGCTACTGAAGAAAAAGGGCATATCAGTCTAGCTGATTTATCAGCCAATCGCAATGGTACGAGTAGAGCAGATGGGGCTTTACCGTTTGTTGGCAGATCGAGAAGATACGGCGATGAATCGAGAACTGAAAGTAGTTTTAATACAGATACTACAACAAACAGGTCATACTCAGACAGTAGTGCAGACGGGGATAATTCTGTATCATATAATCCTAAAGGAAAATACAAAAGAAATGAAAGGGAAGGAAGTATTCGCAGAAGTCGTAACAGGACTCATAGCATGTCCTCATCTAAGTCCGGAAATACGCGGCGAAGCCAGCCGAGATCATCCAGTGCTGACAGAGCTGCTGATCAGAAGAGTCAGCAGGGTAGCCAACATGGTAGCCAGCATGGCAGTCAACATGGCAGCCAGCATGGTCATGGCCAGCATAATCATCACAGAGGCTCCAGTAGAAGTTCTAGACGAAAGAAACAAGAACAACCCTCTCCTTATTTACCCATTTTCGCAGAAACAAAGAAAGCGGCAAAATCCCATAGAAAGCACTGATAATATCTATTTGATTGATGTAGCATTTACTTGGTGATGTCATATCATTATGGATAATCATGATTCAGTGACAAAATTCATTGTTAACCATGATTTGATATTGCGGGTCAATCATGATTTAGCAGCAGTGATCTGTAATGCTACTAGAATTGTGCCTTAGCGTGATTAAATACAATGGGAAATCATGATCAAAAGGATATGTGATAATATTGTAAGAAATCAAATTTCTCTATGCAAAAATATCAATTTGAAAGTAACACACAGGTTGAACAAACGTTTTTTTTTTTTTTATTATTAATGAACATGCATGACATAGTAGAAATTACATTCCAAAAATTTTTATCAAATTTTTAATAATTTACATCAATGTGCTACAATAATTTTTTTTTAACATATGTACAAATATTCATATTGATTTATTTTTATATAGAAACTGTTGATTTATATTTATATCATATTAACCTTCTGTTCTTAAATGCTTTTATATACTCTATGAACAAGGTTGTGTACATTTGATTTATTTTATATTTAATTACCGGTATGAAAATTTACATCTGTATATAATCTGATTCCCAGATAAGAGAAAAGGAGACTTATACGGAAAATATTATTCAAATCAGTATCAGGTTTTGTAGTCGTCGAGGCTTTACACCAAAGGAGAACATAAATTCTTTATGCAGGACTATTTTAAGGGTTTCTTAATAGCTAATTGAACACGTGCGTTAAATTCAAAAGATACTGTATAAAAATTTATAAAAATTTCTCAAAGAAATTGTTATCTTATACATATCTGACTATTAAGAAAGTCACTGAAAGGTATATGATCATCAATTGTCAGGATTACCCTTACATTTAGAATTTAATGGAAGAATAATGATTTTTAAAAAGTTAATTTTCCTATTGTATTGTTCTTTGTTTGAAAAAAATAATTTTTGTACAAAAATAAATATTGTTTTTATAAAACAATTAACTGTTTAAAGTGCCAAAAATAATATCGTATATGATAACAAATAGGATTAGATAATTCATACCTTAAAAGGCTTTATCATATAGATACCAGTCTCCACTGCACTGACATCAGGGGACCAGTTGTACCAACTTATTTGAGACACTATGATAACCATGTTGTGTTCAAATTCGAACAAAATTAGAATACATTTACATTATAGAGTAAGACGAGATTCCCTACCTTTACTATAACAAATTTCCCAGTAGCCTGCGTTAGAAAAAAAGGCATTTTTTTCACACGTCCAGTTTTGGTTTTGGGGTTTAGGGTACTATCACTTTCTTCCAATTATCTGCATTTTTCCCCGTTATGTCATTAGTTAATTACAGATTTTTATCTTTGGTTTTTGAATAAAAAAATCAGATTAAATGAAAATATAGAATTACCGATATATTTCCAACCCATCACAATATCATTTTACCTTAATCACAAATAGAGCGTGGGTATCTCCAAGTCGCCCAAAACAAGCAGTTTAAGCCAGAAAGGATGGACCATGGTAAACAGAAATTACAAAGCATAGCCATTATCCCTTAAGATAAAAAAGAGATAATCTTTGAGTTGTCTACTTACATAGCAAAGTAAAGTCGGATAGAGTGGCATTGACAAGTAAAGGGAATCACATTGCACCCATATTGTTATCTTTACCTCAGAGTATTAATTCAACCTAGTATGTTAAAATTAAGGAAATCAAATATTTCATAAAAATAGGAAATAAAACATTTTTTACTATAATTTGTTTTCTTTCTACTTTTTCTCTTGATCAAAGATTGCTGTACTGAATATAACATTTCAAAATTGTTCAGACACTGACACTAGATCTCCAATTGCGATGTTCTAATAGTGTCTATGTTCAATGACGCCACACCTATTGGGATGTTCTTATATTGTCTTTGTTCAGATACTGACACGTGACCTCCAACTGGGATGTCCTTATATTTTCTTTGTACAGACATTGACACTATACCTCCAACTAGGATGTTGTTATATTGTCTTTGTTCAGATACTGACACAAGACATTCAGTTTGGATGTTCTTTTATTGTCTTTGTTCAGATACTGACACTAGATCTCCAATTGCAATGTTCTTATATTGTCTTCGTTCAGACACTGACACTAGACCTCCAATTGGGATTTCTAATATTGTCTTTGTCTAGATACTGACACTTGACGTCCTAATGAGATGTTCTTATATTGTCTTTGTTCAGACACTGACACTAGACCTCCAATCGGGATGTTCTTATATTGTCTTTGTTCAGGTGCCGACGTTAGAAGACGAGTTCGGGACTTTTCATGTCTACAATTTTGTTTCTAGCACTGGGTTGATACCGCTGCTGCTGGATTGCTAGTCCCTAAGGATATTGACCGAAGTACTGACATGATTAATAACATACTGGTAGCTATTTTTTTTTTAAATTCTACGTTGATAATTAAAATAATATAAGTCAAGAAGAAACTATAAAAGGTTCCAAGTCCACCACCAGACAAGGTTAACCTTTAGTTAAGTGAATCTAACTATACTTCTAATATCCCTGTTTTGTCATGTAGATGTTCAAGTACTCAAGTTTTATGTACATCCTTGACTTTCATTTTTTCAGGGTTTAAGCAATCCTGATGAAGGTAATCCTAGGAAAGCGTTAATGTTGTTTGATTCAGTTGTGTTGATACATGGATGTAGGACAGAAAGATACAGGACAAAAAGTGACAGACGAAAAGTCACAATTCAGTTCGAGATTGTTTTTCTTTGAATAAGAAAACACTGATATTTTTACAAATATTTTTGTATTTTTCTTGAATTATTATATATAAAACAACTTTGTAAACAAAATTTATTTAACAAATACCAATAATGATCAAATAATTGTTAAGAAAACAATTTGTCACAGTGGCTTGGTACTTAAATGGCTCCATGGTGCCAAGAAGTATATCATTTACATGATAAACATTTGATAAATCTTCATTTATCAAGGCTTATGAACAATTTCAAGAACTTCCTCTTATATATTCAAAAAATTATAAACAATTTATATGTGACTGTTTGTCCTGTGACTTTCTATCCGCTTACCCTCTTACATTTATGTGACAGCCAGGTGGCAACTCTATAGGTTCTACATGGTGGCGACCTCATATTGTTTAGTTCATTTCCCCTTCATTTGGCGACTTAATATTTTTTAGCTAATGTGGTCGTCATTTGGCGACATCTGATTTCTACATTCATGTGACTGTCAAATGGCTACTTATTTTCTACAATCTTCCAAAAGCAAGAAAATAAAAAATAAGAGGACTTAAGTCATGAATAAAAAAGACAAGTTAATTGGATTGATTCATCCATTACAATATTTATTAACAACAATTTTGAAACAGTATTTACGATGATACATGTATTAACAACAATATTGAAACAGTATTTACGATGGTAAATGTATTAACAACAATATTGAAACAGTGTTTACGATGGTAAATGTATTAACAACAATATTGAAACAGTGTTTACGATGGTAAATGTATCAACAACAATATTGAAACAGTATTTAGGTTGGTACATGTATTAACAAGAATACTGAAACAGAATTTACGATGATCCATGTATAAACAACAAATATGGTACATATATTTTACATAGGAACCTCGATGAAAATTAAAGATACCACTTTAGAAACCGAAATAATTACAGTGCTATGTAAATAGAATATGCGTATTCATCAATGAGACAGCAACCCGACGACATTTAAACACATCTAGAATAAAATTATCGTGGTCGATAATGAATAAAGAAAAAAGCTTTTTTTTTTTTTAAATTTTACACTCGCATGTCGGTATCATAAGAATATGCATTTCTGTCAATATTTACTCTACAATATACACCATGGTCTACATAACACATGATGTATATAACACAGATGACAAGGGTGAGAAATAACATTTTTAATGAAGGACCACGTGATGTAGACGGCAAGCCATTCTGCATTTCCTGCTGCTGTCTAGAATGTTGTCGTGTACTGTTTCGATATACTAATGTTTCCGATCCGTTTTTGCTATTGGAACAGCGCAACAACGACAATTCAGGATGTGTGAACTCCCAGTTGTATTGCTACATAGTTTTAGTTTAGTTGCGACGAAGTCGAGTTTGGTTTATACTATGATGAACGCCACCCGGATATCCGGGTATCCGACTGTTTGGACCTCGTCAATTTGTTTTTGGGACAAACTCGTTTGAGTTTTAAACAATATCTTTACCAAATTTGGTTTGATAATGCCCAATGGGATGAGTAAGACCTATTGACTTTCAGATCATAAGGTCAAAGGTGAAGATCACAACAGCTATTGAAAGACTGAAATTTAGGCAAAGTTTTGTATAAAGGATGTTATCATTTGAATCAATTTCCAACTTGTACCATATTCGGTTTGATAATTCTCCAGAAAGATACCTGTGATTATCATTAGGTCAAAGGTCAACAGCTATTGATAGACTGAATTTCAATCTTTTGGTTTCCAACTGAGATCTTTTGAAACGTATATATATCTAATCTTTATCAAGTTTACCGTGAAAATGTATATCTTACACTATGTAGTTTATTTTAAAAATACCAAACTTGGTTTGATAATTTACCATGGGAAGGAAAAGCGCCCATTGATTTTAGAGTCAACAGACCAAGGTCGCAGTAAATATGTAAAATAATTATATATGGACAACTGAGGTGCTGTTTCTGGATGTTACCTTTTGAACCATTGCCCGACTTGTACCACACTTGATTTAATCATCCATCTTTGAGTGGGTATTGATTTTGGAGTTAATATGTCAAGGTTGCAGAAGCTATGGATTGACTGAAATTGATGGTTTCCGGATGTTAGCATTAATTATATCCAACTTGTATAATGCCATAGGGTGAGGGAAAATGTTTGATTTTGAGGTCATTAGGTCAAAGGTCCAGGTCACAGCAGCTACTATTAATAATCTAAAATTTGGGCAAAATTTTGGAATCAGAATATCTATATAAACGATATATTCAAATTGTACCAAACTTGGCTTAATATTATAAATATGTATGTTTATTTGTTATTTCTTAATAAATTATACTTAAAGTCAAAATATCCCCAAATCCCAAAGCCTGTCATAATTTTAATACAGTTTTTTTCAGCAGATTTTTCAGTCCATCACAAAAAAGAAAAATGGATAAACAATACCCGATCCAAAAATTGCTTTCTCTAATACCATTTACAATCCAGATTGAAACTCGGCTTATGCACCCACGATTCTTCTGTTATAACTTCAGTCAGACGACTTTTACAATTGTATTAGTGTTGATTGAAAATAAGTTGAAAGTAATTCAATCTATGAAGAGCGTCTGCATTCTATCCCGACATATTCCTGTATTATGCAAATTCCTATAAGAAAAATAAGTCGTTGGGAAATTATCATTATATCGCCTTAGAAAAATATAGCATTTGGATACTAGTCAGGCAGCATTGGACGTAAACTTTTTGTATTTAAAGCTTTATATTTTTGAGGGGCGAAGAACGGGATAATCCATATTTTGTATACAGATGACTGATGGTCTATATTTTCTTTTGGACATATATCTGTTGCTTGACCTCTCATTCACGGATTTTATCACGTTGTATTTTTAGTTGTAACGATTAGAACGTCACCTATATTTGGTCCATGTTTATGAAATCGTGTACGTCAGAAGAATTCGTCTAACCTAGTCATCTTTATAACTGTTCATTCAAGATCAGTTTTCGCGATTCGGTTATTTTTTAAGTTTTTGTAGGTAATAGGTCAAATTTACATTGTCTTTAGTGTATAAACTGATTGTTAGGTGTACATGTCCTTCTGAAAGGGTCATCTGACCTTGTCCCAATTTCCATTAATTGTTGATTAATGTTAAATAATTTAATTTTAGATATAAACAAGTCTTCTGATTGGCTGAAAGTTTATTGTCTATCAGCTCATAGACATAATTTTGTCATGTGACCGTGACGTCATCAACGTTTTTTCATGATTTACTCCTTAAAAATGGAATTTAGAATTAAATTATAGATCTTAGGGATGACTGTAATATTTTTTCTGTCTGTTCGAAATAACCTCAAAAATGTGGTGCACACTTTTAAATAATCAGCTACGCGGGTTATTCAGTGTGCACCACATTTTTGATGTTATTTCTTCATTGACAGAAAAAAATATTACAGTCATTCCTTAAATAGTACCTATTAATTGTAGGTCAACTTTACTTGATCTATGAAATGATTATAAGGTGTACATGTATCTTTCACATGTTTGATCTGGCATTCACCTGAATTCCATGGTTCACTTGACAATGATTTGTTTTCGGGATTATGTGATTTTTTAAGTCACTATACTAGGTTATCATATATTGTTAGTTGTGCATGTCTATTTTGATATCATCCATCTGACCTTGACCTCATTTAAATGGTTCATTAAACAACGTTAAGTGATTAAATTAGTTTCTAAGCTATTGTAAGAAATTGTTTAACCTATATATATTCAATGTCGATCCCTTTAACAATTTCCACTTGATCTTAAAATTGTTTGAATGGTTCATAGATCAACGTTCAGTAATTAAATAAGTTTCTTAGACATTGTAATTAATAGGTCTACTTTAGTCTATAGATTGATTTCATGGATTCAATGTCATTCTGACTGGGTTCACTTGACTTATGTTTGTCTCGCCTGCGACGAAAGTCGCAGAATATGAGACAGGGATAACAATCTGGC